ATAGGTGAAAGAAGGGTATACAGGGAGTAACCGTGCTATTCTTGTAACTTTCCTGTAAGTCTGAAATTTTTTCAAAATAAAAAGTTAAAAGTTGCTTTTATCATCACATAATGAGACATGTTTTGAGAAAGTGATGAGCAAATTATCTACTGGCCAGCAAAGAGGGCTTTAAGAAAAGAAAACTCTGGATCCTTATAATGTCCCCACTATATGCCTGATCTAAACGGCACACACCACTCAGCCCACACCAGTCGGCCACAGGCCCACTGAAGGACTCACTGGAGAGGAAGTGGCCCTAAAAATGGGGAACACTGGTCCTGAAACAGAATAGTAAATGTGGGCACTGTTCTCAATGCTTAATATATAATAATCAACAACATGCAATTATTCCAAGTAGAATTAGGGGAAAAAATTACTTCCAAAAATATATTATAAAATATAACTAAATACAAACCAATCCATATTTCTCTTATTAGTTCTGACCAGACAGGCATTCTTCCCTCTTTACAATATTCCTGCCAGACTATATCAATGCTTTCTATTGGAAATGTGGGAGGCAGCTGCATTTAAGCAAAGCAATCCCTATTTCAGCTTCTTATGGTATTTAACCCCTTTTTCGAGGGAAGAGAACATGAAATCACATACAGAATACCTAACCTACGGTTCATTCCTTTAGGCATGTTTCTTGTTACTATTATTCTAAATTGTCCATGAAAATTAATTTGGATTCTTAAACTCATAAACTTCCCATACATTTTGTGAACGAAATCTCTTGAAGATTCACAGTGGAAGCAGTGACAAAAAATACAGTGATATCTAAAACATACTTTCTTTGAAACACTGATGTTCAAAACTATCATCCCAAGCTTTTTATATTTTTCTTAACAGGTATAAAAACCACTCACTTCCAACATGGCTGAACGCCAATACGTGCCTGCTGCTGCCCTGATATGTTCTAGGTAACCAGTTCCTCTCCCCTAGCAAACGGCTACATTCAAGATTTCAGTGCTTGAAGTTAACAGCTACCTATATTATGAAACGAACCAACCAGGACGCTTACTTTTTTACACTATTCTTTGGATCACTTGCCCAGAAAGAAAACAGAATTAAAGAAAAATTGAAATGTTAAATCTTCAATTATTTCCAGAAACTTTACTTAAAAATGGAAGGTAGGAGATGCGTAAGAGGTTGAAACTACAGACTGCAGTAAAGTTTCAAAATTACATTGCGATTTTATTAATCCATATTGTATTGCTTCCTATCTCAATTTCCTTTCAGCCTTCGCCAAAAGTCCCTCACTGATTCCCATCAAATGCCTTATTTAACCAAGCCTTACTGAACACCTCAGTACATACCAGACACGAGGATAGGTGCTAAGAGAATATGGAGATAAGACAGTACCTACACTCAAGCAATTCAGTCTAGAGGAAATGACAAAAATAAATAGACAATTTTAATACAGTGTGATAAACATTATTTGAACTACCTGCTACAAGTCTCTCCCTGAAAGTCATTCCAAACCACAATGGCAATAGCATTCCAAACCACATGCCTGAAAATTCTCTGGAAGAAAAAATTTCACTGATAATCAAATGAAGTTTGAGGCATTTCCGATAAGTTTAAGAAATTAGGACAGCAATGGTGTGCATATGGAAAGATCCCTGTTCGAAAGATAACATCCATTCCAGCAAATTCAGCTCCCCATGTGCTTTATGGAATATGGATTTTTTACATACATTATCCCAACACAGAGTGGGTTGGAAATCTAAGTGAAGACTGACCCTCCACAAGATGAAACACTCTTGCCTCTAGCAAGGGCTCATTTTAGTTCTGGCTCTTGTTTCCATTCTCTCTGGAGAATGGCAGTGTATTAGTGGTTAAGTCCACGGACTTTGTAGTTAGTCAGACCAGGGTTTAATCCTAGCCTTGGCCACTTACAGGCAATGAGATTTTCAGCAAACCTCAGCTTCTCTGAGGCTCAAATTCCTTAGCACCCCCCCCCCCAAAAAAAAGCCAAAAAACACAGTTGTTGTGGGAAATTAAGTAAATACTTTATGCAAAATGCTTAGCACACAGTAAAAAAAACAAGGGAGGATGGGAGAGGGAGGACTAGCAGTTAGTAACAGGGGACCATCAGGTACCAAAATAGAAAGAGATCAATTATACAGAGCTAATCATTTTGTTATTCCAATTGAATAGTGATCTATGCTTGATTTATTTGCATCCATCCTATCTCACCCACCCGTCCCTAGAGAGCAACTACCTCATAAACCTAAGGCTGAAATGCAATTATTCGGGAGCCGGTTTTTTTTTTTTTAAGATCTCCAATAGCCCCAATTTTTATACTAGCTGAGAGAACATGTTCTAGCCCCTCTGACTCTCCATAATTGGAACCCTAAGAAAGGCACTAGAATTCTAACCACCCAAAGGAGACCCCCACCTGGAACACAGACCTTAGTCACATAACAAAGAAACCAACAATATATAGGAGTCAAACAAGGAAAGCAAAATCTGCACAACTCATACTTACTTGTCATCATTTTTTACCCCAAAATCAAAATGAGCAAAACAAAAAATAAAAGATTTACTTATTCACACCCCTTATTATATTTCCTGAAAGAACTAGGAGAGGTGAGGTAAAAGACAAACCTTCCATCTTATCATCCCAAAGGCTTTACAGTACACACCAGTCAAAACAATGCTTCAGTTTGTGGAAACAGTCCTGGACCCTAGTTAACTAGGATACTCACTGCAGCTACACAAAGCCCAGTATCTAAAGCTGGACCCAAATCACCACCACTCAGTCATCCAGAACCTATTTTCAAACTGCCTTTGTACTCCTTCTTCAGATTCCCTCATCCCTCCCCCTAAAGGTTGAGTGGGAAACTGACACTGTGGCAGAAACAGAATCAACCCTCCAAAGATCCACCAAGAAACCTCCCTAGGCTGGAGTCAAGGCAGAGGGAACATTTGAAAGAAATGTGGAAAATATTAAATAAGAACTACAGCCCAAGAGCCTATACACGTTGTCTTTTTTTTCTTTTTAACTGCACTTGCTATAATTATGACATCCAGACATTAAAATTTTACTGTAGTTCTTGCATAGATTATAGTATATTAATAGGAGGAACAAAGTTCTGTTTCCCCTGAAGCCACAACCTCAGAAAGATGAAATCACCTTTCAAGAAATACTTTCATTCTAGAAAACAAATTCAAGGAAGCGTTCTACTCTAAAAAGAATTGGGAGGAGGGAGGCACGAAACCAGAGGATTACTAAAGATACATACCAGTTTAAAGCTAATGAGCAGCTTACATATTAAGGTCCATCTTGTTACAATTAGGGCAGTATCTATTCCAACCAGAATTTTCAGACTGATTCGCATTTTCAAAGGGAGAAGGAAGAGAACACCCAGTTTTCAGCTACTGATGAGTTGGCTATATAATTACCTAGAATCAGTATTTTTGCAAGAATGTATTTGCAAAAACAAAGCATACCTTAAGATTAAATATAAGATATGAAAGCACTCATGGGCCTTCAGCTCTTACAGACTTTTGATTTCACAGCAAATTAACCAAACAAAAAACTCACCTCCAAGAAAACAACTTTCAGTTTGGTTTAAAGATAAGAATTCCCCTTGTGCTTTCTCAAATGCATTCTCAACACCAAAGTCTGTACGTGTTTTCTCTTAGCCTAACCTTATTTAATCCAAGGCCGTTTCAGAGAGCACAAAGCTGAAAATGTTTCCAGGTGTGTTGCCACTTTACTCAGGTGAACTAAAACACATGCTTAGAATTTCCTTATCCCTTTAAGGACATAAACCAAACCTTACTGTACTTGCAGACTGAACATACAACACCTCCACAAATCTTTGCAATCAAAGGTAGTTTAAAGAGGAAGGGAATGGCAATTCAGTTAACATGGATCCATTTGTTTTCTTTTATAAGGCAAAGCACGGAGGCTAGATCTAGCAGGAGAATAAGGCTCCCACCCACCACACCTGGAAAAGTAAGAGGGATCCACCCAGGAACAGCAAGGCTGAAACTGATCTGGGCTGCTCCAACTCCCTGGGGAAAAAATACCACCATTTAAGCTGCAAAGCTCCTTGCAACTTTCCACTTCCACAAATCTAATGATAAAAGGAGAAAAAAGTTTTGAAACACATGAAGAACCATCTGTATAACTAGCTTCCGACCGGACAAATTCCTTTCTCAACCCACAAGCAACATGCCAGAAAAACCAACTTTCGGTTTGGGCTCCGAAATCAGAATTTTGTTAGCTTAACCCAGAAAAAAAATATAAAATCAAAGAACATATCAAAATGTAAATCTACAGAATCGCTCTCACCCCGCTGAATCGATTCACCACCCCAATATCAGAGAGACCTAGAAGTTTGTTTCTGGGTCTTGAATATTTTACCTCTTTCTTCATACAATAAAATACCAAAATTCCCCAAAGTAAGTAGAAAAATTAGTAATTGCTTAAAAGTCACCCGTCAGCATAGCAGACTCTTGTTTTTAAATTCCCTCTGGGTACCATAAGACGAAAATTCGACTTGGCTTATCCTCCTTTACCCGTCTGTACACACATTTTTAAAAAGGCACACACCTCAAATGTGGACTTCTAAAAACCAGTCCTTTAGGAAAGAAACCCAAGGCTTCGTCAACGAGTTGAGAAAGACAAATCCAGCAAGGCAGTTGATTTTTCGCCACCTCTTCCTCCTTTCAGGATCTTTCCTACTCTTCTCTCTCTCTCTCCCTCTCTCCTTTTTTTTCTCTCAGATCCAACACCTAAAATGGAAGTTGCACCCAGCCAAAGGCTAGAGAGCCTGGGTGGTGACAAACTGATCTAGCAGCCCTACCCCCTCACTTTCCTAAGTGATGTCAGCCCCTGAGAACTTCCAATAGGAGCCAGGCATAAATCAGGGAGCTGATTTTATCCAATAGGAAACTTTATTATAGGAAATTAAAAAAAAAAGGAAAGAGGAGGAGAGAAAGAGACGGGGGGAAGTTTTATATATATATTTACATTTAAAGTGGAGACTATACAATCTCTGAGGAATTACTGCAGAGCTCCAGCGGGGGCCAAAGGAACGAGGGCTTTCTAGAATGGCACGCCTAAGCCTCGGTTCTCTTTGACGGTGGGGGTCCTCGCTCCCTCTCCCTTCCTTTCCGGGTTGGGAAACAGAAAAGAGCTGATTTTATTTCTCTGCTGCTATTTGGTTTGTTGCTTTCCACCCCAAAGCATTTTCCCAAAGGAAGACAGGAAGGAAAGGAGAAATCCGAGAAACAGGACTACTATGTATTGATTGGGATAGTAGGGGATATCTGAGGTAAACTCTCAATTTCATTGTTTTAGTTTAACTGCATTAGAGCTAATTAGAAAAAAATAAATGCCTGGGTTTGCTAACAGTTTTTAGTGTCTATACTTTTAACTAGAAGGAAACTGAATCCACTGGCTGTTGAGGAAAATCACTGTCTTCCCCTTTGTCCTCAAATCAAAATAACGTGGGTTTGAGGGGGAGAATAAATGAAATCCAATAAACAAGGAATATATTTAGAGAAGATAGCAGTGTAAGGAAAAGTCTCACATCAAGAAAATTTGATTTCTTTGTGAACTTCAAGCTTAACACAATCTAGTTCATACATTATCTTTTTACACGCGACCTACATAAAGAATTATACAAGTATTCTTTTTCTGAATTAAGAGTTGTCCTTAATATGTGCTTAGACAGTTAGGCCATGAAGGAAGGGATTGGATTTTTTTTTTAACATGCTTGACAAAGACTAGTATCTTATGGTCATTCAGTGGTTACTAAACAAAGAGGATAATAATAAATTGAAAATTTCCTTCTTTCTTACTGAAAAATCTAAAACCTATCCTGTAGACTACTGCCAAATGAATCTTCATAAAGTTTTCATAATCTAGAATAGTGGTTAAGAGCATAGATTCTGCAGTCAGATTGCCTGGCTTCGAACCTTCCTCCTCTGTAAGTACACTTACTTGAGTAAATGCACTCCTACGTGATCTCGGACAAATTATATAATCTCTCTGTGCCTCAGTTTTCTTAACTATAAAATGGAGATAATAACTATCTCTCTCTCACAGGACTGTTGTGAGAATTAAAATACATATAAAGTTCTTAAAACAATGTATGGCATAGAGTATAAACTCACTAAGAATGAGTTATTATTATATTTCAGAAGCCAAAAATAATTGCCAAAGGAAAACAATCTGCACGAGAAATGCTCATTGGTTCCTAGGTCAAAACCATATTCTAGAATATTCTATGATTTTCTAGAGATGGATTGGTCTTGTTTCCTTTACATCACTGCTAACTACTTGCAAGTATTTTGCCTTCCTTTTTCGTGTATGTGTGTGTATGTGTGTTTTCCTGTCTCCCCCACCCGAAGATAAGCTCCATGAAGGCATGAACAGTGTCTTTCTAGTTCATATTGTACCCCCCGAGCTCAGCCTTATATCTCACATTTAGCAACAGATGAATGAGTGAATGAAGTCTCTTGGCTTACTAGTTATGTAATCCTGAACAAGTCATTTAACATTAATGAATTTGTAGATAACATTCAAAATAAAATTATAGGGGCTGGCTGGTGGTGTAGTGGTTAAGTTCTCACACTCTGCTTCAGTGGCCTGGGGTTCGCCTGTTCGGATCCTGGGCATGAACCTACGCAGCACTTATCAAGCTATACTGTGGCAGGTGTCCCACATATAAAGTAGAGGAAGGTGGGCACCGATGTTAGCTCAGGGCCAGTCTTCCTCAGCAAAAAAAAAAAAAAAAAGAGGATTGGCAGTGGGTGTTACCTCAGGGCTAATCTTCCTCCAAAATAAAATGATATACAAATCAAAAAAGATAACTCAGTAGTGAAAAAGTTGTTGAAATTTATCTGAAACAGCTATCTCCAAATAAAGCATCACAGCATTAATAGTCACTAAAGGAAAAACGGTTTACACTCAGTTAATAGAAAATAAAAAGACTAGCTCCACTTGGGTTATTTTGAGCACCTACTGTGAACTAGGTACTCTTCTAGATGTCAAGGATAATGGGATAGACAAGTATCCTGTTCTCAAAAAGCTTACATTCTAGCAGGGGTAGAGAGAAGATTAGAAATAAGATGTCAGATGGAGCACTATGCAGAGATTTACAACAGACTGATGAGAATGACTTGTTGCTTGTTCTAGATTGGATGTCAGGGACAAACCTCAGGAGAGGTGACGTTTAAGTTGAAATGTGAATAGTAAGAAGCAGTCAACCATGACAAGATATGAGCAATGATAACTATTAATGCCAAAGCCCTAAAGTGTGGGGCTGAAACATACTGGATCCAGCAGAGCTATTGGTAACAAGAAGGAAGGGACAGGCAGGAATCAGAATATGAAGGGTTTGTAGGTTAGAGGAAGTTTCGATTTTATTCTTAGGTAGAGGAAAGCCTATGGGGGTTTTAAACAGCAGAATGACATGATCTAACTCACATTTGGAAAAGATCTGGCTGCTTATGTGACAAACGGATTAAAGAGGATGCAAGAGTGAAAGCAAGGAAATTAGTTTGAAGGTCAAGCTGCAGTAATATGGAGCGGACGACACTGGTAGCAATAACAATGGGGAGAAGTCAATGGACAGAGTTGATGTTTAGGGATCCAGGGTTGTTTTTTAAGTTGGTTTTTTTTTTCTTTTTTCTTTCTTTTCTTGTTTTCTTTTGAATGCATGGAATATTACATTCTGTGCTCAGTTTTACAACTCTCAAACTTTAACTTACCCACCCACAACCATCACCACTTACACACAAAGAAAAACAAGACACCATAAAATGGTGAAAAATTAAGGAAGAGCTTAGAAATAAAATTGTATTTTAAAAAGCAATATGTAAATTATATAGAGCAGACTGCTGTGCTGTAATGAAGCTACTTGTAAAACAGACTGACTATAAATACCAAAGAGAAGAAACGAACAAAACTCAACTACAAAAACACTGGCTATGCAAACAAAGGACAACAAAATAATTTTACTCGTTTCTACCCTCTGGTGGCTATATGTTACCATCCCATGGTTGTCATTTTTGAAGCCGTGAGTAGGATGACCATTTATCATTCCCTTTAGAAATTCTACTAACACAAGATTTAACTAACATGGTCTTGCATTAAAAAAAAAAAAGGAGTCCTCTCCACTTCTCAAAAATTAATATAATCCTGATAACAATATATTCACGAGGGGATATAATATTTCTATTTTCCTTACAACTCCACAGAGTCACCTGGGCTGGTGCTCCATCTGCCTAATCAAGTCTTGATTCCACAGTAACAGATGTCATAAACAAGCATGGTTCTGCCTTCTGTCTTTTTTTTTTGATTGCTTGCTTGCTTTTGTGTGTGTGCACGTGCGCTGCTGACAACGTCTAAAATCTGTCCTCCGTCTGCTAAATTTTATGTCCTTTCACGAATTGCTTCCTCTTCAAAATAGGACAACTGCAGCCCAAAATGTCTTCGGTTCCTTGCTTCTTTTTCCATTTTAAGAGCAGAGACCTCAAAGTAGGGAAAATATTACCTGACTTGGAAATTCCCCCCCGCCACCCAATATTTCAGCCAACCACCTCAAACCCTTTTTGCAAAAGTATTAGATATCAATAGGACATATTTGAGCGTACTATACTACTCACCCCTCTAGTTTTGTCCCTTTGCAGGTTCCCTTTCTCTCAGGCATCTTACCTTTCTGCCTCCAGTTGGTCTCAGAGGGGCTGCTCCATTTTAATTCACCACATTTTGTCATCAACGGCTTTGTCGTTCAGAGCTGGACATCAGGGGGACATCTGACCAAAGCCAGGACCGGGTCCTAATGCACACAAGGGAAAGAACCGCTGTCCAGATTTATAACATGGGTTAGCATTCTCCCCAAATGTTTAATCTTGAGATCATGCAATTTTTAATATCATCCCTGACACCAGCTGTTTCCACTCAGGAAGTGCGCTAAATCAATCAGCTCTGGAAGGACATCAGAGACCACTCCAGACCGGAAGTTCTGCAACTCCCTTGGCCACCAGTTCTCCGAGATTTGGGGCTGAAGTGGTATCTGTGAAAAACGTGAATTCAGAAACTAGCCAATGACCTTGTTCCAGAACACCGCTGCGTTGGGAGACACCCAGATTAGAGATGTGGGGTCAAGGTGTGAGCAGAGCCATCCAGAGGCTTTTTCCTGCCTTAAACCTGCAGTGAGGCCATTTGCAACGTCTTCAAAGGGAGGCCGGAAGTGTCCTTCAATGGCCTGGGAGCCTGCCCTCTGGCAGCGTCCGGCCCCTCTTTTCGGCGACTTTTCATGGAGCGCCGAACGAGAAGCCCGGCTTCCCTAAGAATTCCTCCCAAGCTGGCCCTTCCCCTACCTCTCGCGGCAGCCGACTCTCTTCCCTCAACCCTCAAGTCCCTCGAGACTTAGCCTCCCGCCCAAAGCGCTCCTCCTCCTGTCATTGGCTCTCCGAGGAGCCTTCGGCCAATGGGGATGACGTATTCCGGCAGTCGTCGGCCCGAGGGTGGGGGAGGGGGAAGGACGTCGGGCCCCGCGACGCCGAGCGCGAGGACGGCGGCGCGAGGTGTGTGGCGCGGGCCGCGTGGTCTCCGCCCCTCAGTGTCACCAGCTGCCAGTGCATAAGGGCACCGGGGCCCGCGGCGGTGCCAGGGCGCCAGGGGGTGGCTGCAAAGCCCGTGCGGCCAGAGGTGGCGGTGAGGGTGAGCCCTGAATTCGGGCCTCCGGGATCCGCACGCTCCATTCCCAGAAACCTTCGCGCTGAGAGGTCTCTCTTCAAAGGAGTTGGGCCGGGGCGTCTGGAGCGTGCGGGGCACCCAACTTTGCAGGGCCTTCCCTGAAGCCTTGCTTTCTCCGCCAACCCCGCTCCCCTTGGTTCTGAACGGGCGAGGAACCCTCAGGCCGTTGACCCACCTGTGCTGCTTTCTTTGCTAATCGTCCCCGTGAGAGGCCGGACATTGGGAGGAAGCAAGGCGGGCTGGACAGAGGACCCACACACAGAGAGGACGGCAGGAGCAGCTCCTACTGCAGGACTATTGCAGGTTGGATCTAGGGGCAAGGCTGGGGGGATTGGGAAGCTTCCCCAGGCCCTAAGTTTGGGCCCTTGCAACAGCTGCCATCCTCCACCCACAGCCAGGGATTAGCAGTGAGCCTTCCCTTTCTTAATTTTCCTTTCTGCTCTTTTTTTTCCCTTGATAGTTTGGCGTGAACTATTTGCATTCTCAGTGCCACCTGACAGAAAAGTGCATGCAGGAAAGGAACGTCAGCTGTGCAGTGAGTCTGGGGGTTTCGGTGCAAAAAGCCGTAAATGTAGTAAGCCTGAAGTCCGAATATCCAGGTTCTTTGGGGAGGGGTAGAATGCTTAATGATCCTTGCTGCATGGTTAGCCAGGCAATTAACCAGAGTGACAAACCTGAAAGCTAAATTCTTTGCCAATTTCCAGGCCAAATCAGGCTTGCTTTGGTCAAGAGTATCTGAACCAAGGGTGGCAAGGACCTTATTTCTGTGAGAGACCTTCCCACCCAGTCCAGCAGCTTCTTTTCTTTACGGTGCACCCTCTGCTGGTTAGTGTGATAGTGAGCTAAGAGAAAAGATGTGTACGACTTTCTGGGGATCATTTTATGCTCACTCCTTAAAAGTATTAAATCGAGGATTATACCCATGGAACTTGGAAGTGTGGTGCTCAGGAAGAATATGAGTAGTCAGCACTGTGGGAGTTGAGTCTCAACAGTTGAGATGTTGAGTGAGGAAGGTTTAAGGATAATAATAACAGCTACCATATTGGGAGGGATATTTATTATGTGCCAGGCACTCACAGTGCTAAGCAATTTTACCTGCACTGACTCATTTAATCTTTAAAACAGCCCTGCTAGGTAAGTGCTGTTATTATTCCCTTTTCATAGATGGGAAAAGTGAGACTCGGAAAAGTTAGGTCATCTGCCTGAGATTATACAGCTATACTAATAAATATAGCTGAGATTCAAATGTAGGTTTCTCTCTGAGCTCCCACATGTAATCACTATGATATTCTTTCTTGAGATATCCTTGGCATAATTTCTGGGCTTACGGTTTCTCAACTCATGCTATTATCTCTCACTTTTAAAATTTATTTCAAAGGCAAAAAACCAATTAGGTATCACCATGCTTCTGAAATGTATTATCTCATCCACAGGAATCTGATCTGAGAAAACATAGAAGGTTTGTTAAGGGACCAGTATGTGCTCTCCCGCCAGTCCCAAAATCCTGTACAGGAATCCCCGGTTCCTCCGGTTAGCTTTTTTGCAGCTTCATCACCAGCAACAGAGTGGTGTGTTCTGTGATGTCCTTCTGCAGGCAGAAGGTAAGAGACGTGGGGACTAGTTGAAAACACCATAGAATAAGATAAAACGAGTTTAGGATTGGGGGTAGAGGACAGACCCAGGAAATGTGTTATCATCGCCTTTGAGTGCTGTAAGCTATTTGGTAAAGAGCTGTTTGGTTCTAGGACACTTACTGTTTTCAAGAGTGAAAATGAGACTATGCTCTTTTTCTCTTAAAAAAATGAAACTAATTGTGAAGTTTTGTAAGCGTAGAAGTTCTATAAAACATGGATAATAGTATGGTATTGGGGTGGTTGTGAAGATTGAGTTAACATATGTAAAGCACTTTGAAGAGTGCTTTTAATGTACTAAGCACAATATAAATTTCAGATGATACTTTTACATGTTTTCCCATTTTTTTCCCAAGCTGTTGCTTAATTTTTTTCTTGTCTTCAAATTGATGGTTTTTGTTTTTTGTTGTTAGACTTAAAAATATATAGCTTATTTCCACCCCTTCTCTTTACACTTAAAATGTTAAATCATCATGAGGTAGAGCCTGGTATAATGTAAAAGGCCCAAGACTAGGAGTCAGAGGACCTGATTTAAGTCCTAGCTTTGTTACTTGGGGGCTGCATGACAAGTGGACAAATGATTTCATCTCTCTGGAGCTCAGTTTCTTCATTTATAAAAAAGATTTTGACAACCAACGTTGTGTAGCACTCTACAGTTTGCAGAGTAAAACAGTATAGTATAGTGTCTCATTTGAGTCTCATAACAGCCTTGGGAGATAAGTAATGTTATATGGTACCAGTTCTACAGATGAATGAATTGAAGCCTGGAGAGTTAAGTGACTTGCCTGTTGGTTCTCTTAGTAAATTCTGAGTTGGGATTCATTCCTTTATTCAAAATAAAAAAGTATCAGTTGCTTGTACACTGTACTAGCATGGGCATTCAGTATCTATGAAGATAAAGTCCCTCCCTATAAGGAAATCATGTAAGGAGGAGACATGCAAATAACCAGTGCATTCAAGTAACTATGAAGTATAATAAATAACATATTGGGGTAAGTATAGGCTGAGAGAGGAGCATCTTTCATAGACCTGAGGAGGTTGAGGGACAGGGTTAGGGAGATTTCTTGGAGGAAAAAACGCCTTAGCTGAGATCTGAAGGACAAACAGAAGTAGGAGAAAGTGTGGAAAGATTTTCACAAACAGAGAGAACAGCATGTACAGAGATTTAGAGATGTGGCCAGGGATTTGTGAGTGGTTCATTACGGCTAGAGCACAGACTACAAGAAGTGTGTTGACCGGAGATATGGCTAGAGAAATTAGCAGCAATTTAAGGTATTTAAAGGTTTTAAGAGGAAGGTCATGATCAGATACCTGCTTTACAAACAGCACTTGGGATACATGAGAAGAGTGATTGGATTGTTATTGAGCCCAAATAAGAGGCTGTTTTGGAATCCAGGAAAGAGGGAACGGTGGCCTGAACAAAGGCTTTGAGAACAGAGAGAAATATATGGTTTATAAGCTATTAAGGAAAATTTACAAAACTTGCTGCAGTTAAGAGCACAGACTGCAGCCAGACTCCCTGGGTTAAAATCTTGTCCCTGCTGTTTACCACATAACTGTGGGCATGTTACTTAATTATGCTATAGTTTACTTATCTGTAATAACAGCTACTTCACAGGGTTGCAGTGAAGATTAATTAATACTGGTAAAACCCTTAGAACAGCACCTGGTACATAATAAGGACTCAAGAAGTATTAGCTTTTTTAAAATTAATGTTTGATTAGGTACAGAGGGTAAGGGAGAAGGAAGAATCAAAGATGACTTCCAGTTTTCAGGCTTGGGCAGCTAGGTGAATGTGGTACCTTATTTTGAAGTAAGAAATAGGGGAAGTTTTTGCGGGTGGGGAATGATGGGTACTTTTTCTAGAAAGGTTGCGTTGGAGGTACTTGTGGGACATCCATATAGACATACAGGCTTTGGCATATTTAATGTCAGGAAAGAGATCTGGGCAGAGGTAGGATCTGGGAGTCATCAGCAAGTCTTTGGTAATTGAAGCCAGGAGAGAGACCTAGATTGCCCAGGAAGTGAGAAGGGGCATAGTGGCATAAAGTGAGAAAAAGGTGGCATAGGACAGACCACTGCCTAGCAGGCAGTGCCTAAAGGTCAGGAGAGAATTGAACCCTGATTGTCCACATCCAGAGCTCATTCTCTATTAGACCATAAGAAGCTTCTATAAAATTTTTTAAACTCTCATGTGAGTCAAAAAAATTTATTCAGCCTCCCTCCTTTGTGTCAAGCAGCGAGTATACCTCAGTGAGAAAGACAGACAGGGTCTCTGCTCACAGAGCTTCAGTTTAGTGAAGGAGATAGACAGTGACATTATAGATAGCTAAGTGCTATGATAGCTATGGAGTATCTCTCTGTGCCCAGGAACGCCTAATTTCTAGACTTGGGGTGGGATGGGGGAAGGCTTTCTGAAAGAAGTAATGTCTAAACTTGATTTTCCAGGATAAAAAATGAGTTAGGTACGTAATGGCAGAAGATTCCAGGCAGGTAGAAGGAACAAATTTCTCTACTTGAACTTCCGTGGAGGGAAATTGAGAGAAGGGCCAGCACATTTGGCTAGTAATCTCTCTGCTTAGCCCATGAACATGCTAGTCTGCATGAGATAACAAAGTGTTTGTGTCTCCCTCCAGGTGAGGCAGTCCCAGCCCACTGCTGCATCCTGTCAGCCTGCAGCCCATTCTTCACAGAGCGCCTGGAGCGAGAGAGGCCAGCCCAGGGCCGGAAGGTGGTGCTGGAGCTGGGGGGCCTGAAGATCAGGACACTCAGGAAGCTGGTGGACTTCCTGTATACCTCAGAGATGGAAGTTTCCCGAGAAGAAGCCCAGGATGTGCTTTCTGCTGCCCGTCAGCTCCGTGTATCTGAGCTAGAATCCCTTCAGTTAGAGGGTGGGAAGTTGGTCAAGGCTCCTCAGGGCCGAAGACTGAACCGGGAGTGCTTACAACCTCCAAGTGCCGCACCAATCTCTGCCAGGGTGGTGGCATCCAGCCGCCGCCCTCGAACTCCACTGCCTGTTACCCAAACTCCCGGTCCTCTTGGGGCTGTGAGATTGAAGTCCTCAGGGAAGGAGGAGGGGCCCCTGGAGAAGAGCAACCGACAGAATGCAGAGAACTTGTCTGGCACTCTTCTGCTCAAAAGGAAGGCCAGAGCCTGCCCAAATCCACAAGAAAAAAGCTCTTCACCATCAAGCCACAGTCAGGGACCTAAAGAGAACAAGAGTGACCCTGCCCTTGGTCCTACAGCGCTTTCCCCACCCAGCTTGTACCCCTCTGTGGATGAGCGACTATTGCCCAGAAAGATCAGGCTGAGTCGCTCAAAACTGTCTCCTGATGTCTGTACATCTAAGCCTTCCAGCATTTCAAGTGGACCCAGCTCAGTGCCCACAGCCCCTGGCCGGCGTCTTTGGCGGCAGAAGAGTATAAATAAAGAAGTGCCAGAGGACAAGCAGAAACCAGGGAGAGGTAGTCCTCTACAGAACACCCCAAACCCCTCTAGTCTCGGAAAGACAGGTGGGAGCAAGAAGCGGAGCCCTGAAGTCAGGGCACCTCATTCAGACTCTGCAGAGGAGGGGCAGGTTGGGAGAGTGAAACTTCGAAAGATTGTCAACGGGACATGTTGGGAAGTGGTGCAAGAGCCTCCCCTCAAAAACTCTCAAGTTAGCCCTCAGACCTCAGAACCTGGAGACTTGGAAGAGTCCCCTCCAGAGACTCAGCCATCCTCCATTAAGGAGCAGGAAATGTCATCTGCTAGAATAGGTCTGTGTCAGGACTCCCCCCTTTGCTCTAGGCTACAAGACATTCTGCTCTCGGCTAGCCGCTCCCCGGACCACCAGGTGGTGAAGTCCAAGTTTGGGTCCAGTTCAGAGCTGGTAGGGAAGGAAACTGGGTTGGATATTGACTGCAGAGAGCCCTATGCATTTGACACAGCCCTGCTTGGGCAACCCTGTGAAGCTGAGGAGTACCGAATCACAAGTGCTGCTGCCACCAGTGAGCTGGAGGAGATCCTTGACTTCATGCTCTGTGGCTCAGATATTGAGCCACCTATAGGGTCTCTGGAGAGTCCTGAAGCTGAGGGCTGCAGGACCCCTAGTTATCACCTGACGGAAACAGGAAAAAACTGGATTGAAAGGGAAGAATGGTGTTTGCCAGACATGGAACTCTGGCCCAGGGAGCTCACAGGACTGGAAAAGGAACCTGTTGGTGAGAGCAAAGAGCCAGTTGAGCCCTTTAGCCCCCTTGTCATGCCCTCTGAGAACAAAGCACCAGTTGAACCCCTTAGCCCCCTAGTCATGCCCTCTGAGATGAGTGAAGAGGAGGTGCTTTCAGTGGGAGGCTCTTGGACTCCAGAGCTGGAAATCACCAGCTCCCAGCCACCGGATGGTCAGAAAGACAAGCTTGTCCACATTGACTCCTGTGACCCTCCCCAAAGGTCCTATGAGGACCTCTCGCCTCCATGTTCAAACTGGGTGAAGACTCCGCTGGAAGTGTCCCTAACTATGGATGAGGTATTGTGCCCTTCTCCAGAGGCAGGCAAGGTGGTGTCTGGCAACTCTGAGTTGTTGAGCCCACTTCCTGCTAGCTCTGAAGAGGAAGAGATTGATGTGGTGGACTGGACATCAGAGGGGAGGCTGGTGCCCACCAGTTTTCCCTCCGTATGGCCCGACCCTTCCTCAGAGTCAGAAACAGAGGTAGACATACTAACGTAGTGGAGTGGGGAGGGCAGGTCAGGGGCAATGGGAGGGTAGGAACTGTTGACCAGCAAAAGGTGTATCGACAGAGGCTAGCATGTGCCCTGTCCTCTTAGCACAAGAGGCAGGTGTACCCATGGCTCTCTGTACGTCCCTTCCTCCCCTCCCCAGGCTTTCAGAGCTGGGCAGCAGTACCACAGGTAGAAAACCATCTTATTTCTCTGTAATCTATTTTCCAATTAGTGACAAACAAGTGGTCCCTAACTCTAGTGGGTCATAGGTAACAGCCGAGGCCAGGTTTCCCAGATTATGAGGCACCTATAGTCACTGCTAATATAGGAAAGGTTGAGGAAGAACACCCTCTGTGATGGGAATTTCGTGTCAGAGAAAATATTCCAGGTGTGAAGCAGTGCCGGCTTGGAACATTAAGTGGGTGGGAGTGACAGGACATTGTCCAGTACCTAATGTGTGTGCCTTATTCATTGCCAGTATGGGAAGTCTAGCGAAAACCTCTGCAGGGGCCAGGAAGATGTACTTCCATCATCACTTCCAAGAAGTGAGTTGAAAAAGATACAATTGTTTAAAAAAAAAAATAAATTACCTTTTCCCCATAGTTTTTACAGATATTTCACATGCTTTACCAGAGACCCTAGGAGCTCCAGGTTAATTGGTAACCTTAGGCTATGAAAAATACAAGTGGGACCAATCCCATAAGGCTGGCTTTGTCCATCCCTTAAGATCTAAGATTAAGTTTGACTTTATTACTCAAATACTTTATTTCAACTTTTATTAAACAAACCAAATCCAAGAACTTCTCAGTGCTTTACTACAGGGTTGCCTCACAACCAAACCATCATTTCTGGAGGGGAAGAAACCACAGCTTCAGGCACATGACTGATGTTTGGCCATGTACCGTCATAAATGCTCCAACAACACCAGGGACCGAAGGCTGTGAAAATAAGAGCGGGAAAAAGGTTAGAAAAGGAATCCAGGCAATCACAAAAGCCCCAGGAAGATGTGCCTCCACCCTTGAACCCACAAACCTCTAAGAGAGCACAAGAATTGCATCCTCCCCCCACATCTCAATATAACAAGCCCCTGACAGTATGCCAAAGCACTGTATGAAGCACTGGGGATAAAGACCACAGCCAGATCCTCGTGACCAGGAGTGAGGTACTGAAATGTAGTGTTACCATACGGGACCATTAACAGAACATACTAGAAACAAAAAACTCGAGGGCAGGGGTAAGCATATGTCAAGTTACACAAAGACTTTGCTAGTATGGGGCTGGCCTGGTGGCGCAGCGGTTAAGTGCACACATTCTGCCTCTCGGCAGCCCGGGGTCCGCCGGTTCGGATCCCGGGTGCAGACATGGCACCACTTGACAAGCCACGCTGTGGTAGGCGTCCCACATATAACGTGCAGGAAGATGGGCATGGATGTTAGCTCAGGGCCAGTCTTCCTCATCAAAAAGAGGACTGGCAGCAGTTAGCTCAGGGCTAATCTTCCTCAAAAAAAATAAATAAACCATTTAAAAAAAAATTTTGCTAGTAAAATGGGAAAGTCATGACTCATACAAATAGACACTTGTCAATGATTTTGTTTAACTCATAAATGAGGGTAGCGGTGGGATCCACAACCAGTTCAAAGAATCAAAACATGTGCCATCAAGGACGTGGAAAATGAATTTTCTAACAAAAACTGGTCCATACCCCCAAGGCAGTAACTGCATCTGCAGAGACCACAAATTGTATTTCTATAAAGAATCATTTACATTGCCGTCAGTACCCCACGACTTAGCTCCAAGACCATGAAATGAAACATGGAATTAGTAAAAGGCACACTAGATAGGAAACAGTGATTTTTTTCTTTTGAAGGTTTCAGTTTTTCCTACCAGGAAAAAGGGAAGGAAGTATTCCCAATAGAGGAAATCCTGAGAGCAAGAAAAGAGTTATGAAAACGTAGCTCCTGCGTGAAATGAGGGGTAACAGTGAGGGCTGCTACGCAAACAACCAAACACGATTAATCCACTCCCCCGCCCCCATTTCAAACCTCCGCGTGAGGACTTCTGCCCAAACCTCCCTACGAAAGGTACTTCTTCAGCTCTTCCACCACCTCTTGAGGCTCAGGGAACTTGAGTTTGCGCGGGGGCCCCTTCTTAATCCCAGTCCAGAGCTCCGCACCTGGGAGAAGACCGAGTAAAGCGAAGTTACTTTGGAACCCACCACATCTCTCCGACATCATCACGTGCGCGCGGTTTGAAACCCGCGCTTCCTCGCCTAGCACCCGCGCCCCTCCCCCAGGCCCGGGCCCCTACTCACTGCTGCCGTCCGGGCGCAGCAGCGTCACCTCGAAGCTGCCCCTTCTGGGCTTGGCAGGGTTCACCTTCACTGGAAGCTCGGGGGCCTCCAGGCGCAGCGCCTGGCTCAGGGCCGCGGCGTTGCGCCCGTAGACGCGTCAGCTCGTGCTAGGGACAGATGGGGAAGGTCAGAGACTGCGGCCCTTGGTCTGCGACGCCCTCACTCCCCTCCCCATGACTCTCCCGGTCCCTTACCAATGCTCGATAACGACCGTCACCTCCTCCACTCCCTTGCCGCCGCTGGTCAGCTTCTCTCGCTTCTCGGCCACTGCGACCGCCGCCTCGGCCTTCCGCTTCCTCCCGCGGGAAGCCATGGCGCCTGGAGCCCGACGGGGAACCGAGCCGACCAAGGGCGGGAACAGGGTGGAGACGCGGCCACTGAGCGGGCACGGAGCAGCGGACAGAGCCGCGCCGAGAGCCAAACCGCAGGCCAGAAACTCCGCTGGCGGAACAAAACCTCTCCGCGCGGCAGAAAGCGTGGCGCTGGGCGCACACGTGGTCTAGAGGCTGGACCTCCGGGCACAGCTACGCGGCACGCAAGTGGGGGGAGGTACGGAGCACCGGACCAAACCATAGCGCGGGGGCACGAGGGGCGGACCCAGCAGGGGCGGGGACTACGTAGCTCTGATTACAGGCTTGGCTTCACAATGGCTTTTCTGTAACCGCGCGTCCAGCTAACCGTGTGCGCTACGGCCCCGCCCCTCCCCAAAACCTCCTCCCTGGGACCTGCAGACCAATCCCAAACCAAGTCCACAACCTAACTCTAGGATTAGGGAAACCAGCCTTTCCCAACTCTCCCCAGTGCTGGGAACCAACAGCGCGCAGTGGTGAAACTAATCAGGTTGGCCTTTGAAATTAAGATGGGCACTTCCTCTGCAGTTGCCTGGCTTTTCAAATATAGGAGTAACACAAAAAGGCACAATCAAAAGGAAATTCCAGTCTCTTTTATTACGGAAAACCATCAACCGGGTGTGGTGAGCAGGTAGAAGGGTAAGTGAAACCCCAATCTTACCCAGGGACTTTCTCCTCTAGGCCCCACTACCTCCCACTCTCCACAAAATAGGGGGATTATTCATTACTATCTTCAATGAGAAAACTCTGTGGTTAAAGGTTTCTCCTTGGGAGCAGTGACAAAGTTAAGCTTATACTTTTTAATGAAGGCCACAGACCAAGCCAGAAGGGCCTAAAGCAGCAAGGGTCCTTGAGGGAAAAACCTTAGTGCTGACTCCGTACCCCAGCATCTTATATTAGGATTTACTTAATCTAAGTATCTAAGTAGGCTGTGTAAGTCCACGAAGAGGAGTAATGAAACCTCACTGTGGTGATGTGTGAGTGGTGGACAGCAGCTGACACACTGACCCAAGCTTGGAGGGAAAGCATTTCCTCCTCCATCATATGACATCTCTCCCTTCCTCCAGTGCAACAGCAGTGGAGCCCTTCCTGGAGGAGGCCTGTCAATTCCCATGATGCCTCTTTAAAATCAGAAGCAGTGCCCTGCCCCACCCAGGCACAGCCAAACAGAGAAAACATAAACAAAGGGCTGAGGCCGCAGGCAAGGCTTGTGGTTAGAGAAGGGGCAGGGCCTCAAAAATTCCTGGCACTGACAAGAGAGGAAGCACTGACAGGGCAGGGATCCTATTTTTCCTTCTTGCTTTCCCCATCTGGCACTGCAGCGGGGGTTGGGACTACAGGCTGCTCCTCAGGGATATTATCTCCAGCCTTTGACAGCTTCTTGGCCCGTTGATAGAGCTCATTCAAGCTGAATTCTCGGATCACATTCTCCTGTGCAAAAGAGATGCACACATCAGGGTTCAGGTTGGAAGGGAGAGTACAGAGCCTAGGAACTAAGAAGTATTTAGACACAGTCTCTAGGAAAGGAGGAAGCAAAGGACAGAAATCTACTCTAACTCCTTTTTTGGGTACCTGGAAAAGTCAACTAATATCTAAGTACCTATTATGTGCCAATCACTGTGCCAACAATTATAGCTATATTTAATGTAATCTGCAAAACAACCCTATGATCTGAGTGTTACTGTCTCCAATTTACTGCTAAGGAACCTAAGGTCTACAGACTATAGGTACAAGGGCCTTTGAGACTAAATCTTAACTCATAATTGTTCCCCAGTACTAGCAGGTCTGGCACATGGTAGAAGCATAATATAAATTTGCTGAGAGAATTCATGAATGAGTTCTAATAATTAGTCCCCACCCTCAAAGCTTGTGGGCAAGTGGCAGAGCTAGGAATCAAACCCAGGTTGGGCTTCAAAGCCCACCCACTGTTCCACACCCTTCTCCAAACCACTTGCCCACTCTTTCATGTACCTCAGAGAAAGTCCAAGAGACAGCTCGTCCTTTCTTGTCAATCTGTGGCCGCCGCATGACCTCCTTGCCACCTTGGAACAGGATCAGGGTAGGGAGCTGCTTGGTGAGGGGTGATGTGCTCACTTTGTACCTTCAGGGCCAAGAAAGTATTCTGTAAACACATCTGTATACATTACGCAAAGTGATTCCCTGCCCAGGCCCTTACATACCGGGTACTAACATCAGTGTAGCGTCCAACGTCCACCTTCCCAAAATTTAGCCCTGTACAGTTGTACCTGAGAAGAACATATTATTAACATAGTGAAACAAGACAGATTGGGGGGGGGGGCGCCTTTGACTGTAATGTGCAAAAATCAGGGCCAAAAACAATGAGAGAGAAGGTACAGCATCTCCATTTCCATCGTCCCTCCCTTTACAGTACTCACTTGAGGGAGAGGTCAGCATAGATAGGAGCAAATGATTGGCAGTCATTAGACCAATTGGCAAAGAACTCCACAATCCAAGTGACCCTCTTGTCCCGCTCCAGTTCTTCCTGCCACACACAGGGAAGAAACAGTGAGCTGGATCACACAGGCTCCTGGGGAGGTTCAGACATTAGCATCTAATTCCCCCTCCTGGCTCCCCCTCTCCCCTAGATCCCATAATAAACCATCGTGCCCAACTTCCATTCTGAAGCACTGTTGCTCCTGCTAGTGAGTAAAGAACACAACTACAAAACCCACAAGGGCCCCAAGAAACAGAAGGGAGGAAGGACACTCACATCAATGGTTTTATCATTGAAGTACTTGATATACTCAGGGCCCATATACAATGGGGGCTTGCACGTCATCAGGAACACTAAACACAGAAAAAAGACATCAGAGGAAACATAGAAAGCCTTGGGCAGGGGACTTACTTTCAAACCAACTCAGATTTCAGGCACCAAAGATATGTAGACCACTGACACATTCCCTTCCTCTTAAATAAAGTCACTGTAGATTCTCATTACCTGAGCCACATCCACAATTAATTAGGTACAAGATATGGAAGAAGGGTATGGAGAAACTGGTTTGGGATTGGAATGTGGTTCCCACAACCAAGTCTTCCAGTCTCCTTACCTATGCAGAGTGTGATGTAAAGCAGGCCCATGCGAATATCCAGGCGGAAGAAAAGAATTGCATTGGCCACTTTACTAAACATGAAGATGTTGCCTATATGCTGCTCCACAGTGACTGAAACACAAAGACGTCACAGGTCAGGCTGGGCTGCACGCTCCTATATCCCATTATTTGTCTCTCTTCCTGGAGTACTTTGAAACGGGAGAGGAGGAAGGGGATAAAAGTCCAAGATCAAATTCAGCCTTGGCTTGGAATGAGGGACTCTCATAACATCAATGAAAGCACTTCCAGAGGCATTAGGCCTAACCTTGAGAGACGAAGAAGCAGGCTAAACTTACTGGATCTGCGGTTCTTCATCATCACAATGGCACTGAGGAACATCAGGATCTCTACTTCTCTCTGGGACAGAATCAAAGTGACAAGAGAGCCATGAATAGAGATGATTTGGGTGGGCAAGGAAGCCAAATATGGAATAAAAACCAACAGAGATCCAAACTGCGAATGGTAATGTTACTGCACAGAAAGGGGCTTCTCTGCCCGATGCACATAAAAACAAGCCAATAATTATACCACCAGCATTTGAGAAAAGAAAAGGCTTTATTGCAAGGTCGACCTGCAAGGAGACAGGAGGCAAAGCTCTCAAATCTGTCTCCCCGATTCACTGTTTGGGGTGAAACATAAGAGGTTAGGGAGAACAGGCTGGTACGTGGAAACACTGGCGGGGCAGGTGTCAATTGGAGAGCTTCAAACATTTACAGTAAGGTGTGGAAGGGGTTTTCACACCAGGTCTTCCTACACACTGGACCCCTCGCTTCTGGTAAGAATCCGACTTTCAAGTTCTAATCATGGCCCAGTCCTTTGGTTCCATGGTGGGGGGGAATCTTTGGTTCCGGTGTCATTTCAGGTCAAGATTTTCTCCTCTGCACATGTTCTGGCTACGTGACTTGCAACTTTTTTTGCACACTGCCTCTGAAAAACAACTCTTAATCACTCTGTTGATAAGATGAGGTCAGCTCAAACTGGTCCTAGAGGGCCCGTGGTTACAGTAACAAGAACGAACGAACTGGAGACAGCTAAGGTATAGCGGGAAGGACAACCATCAGAAGATCTAGGTTCAGGTTCTACCCCTGCCACAAACTGGCTGGTGACTTTCAACAAATCACTGGAGTAACCTCTGAGCTTTGGTTTCCTCAAAATGCTGTTGTGAGGATGAAATGAGATAACAGGTATGAAAGAGTTGTATAAAGTATTTAGCGTAAAACTGTATGATATTACAACCAACTCAGTATGACCCTGGAAAAACAAAACTTTTCCAGGGAAACTTGCTCAGTAATATTCCATTCATACAATATATGCTTATTCCATTTGTTTGGTTTTGCTTAACTTAAGTCACTCCTCTCCACCTAATCATCAGTGAAATCCATGCACCTTTAATTTAATTTGAGAATCGAAGGAGGCCTTTCAGAACTCTCAAGGGCCCTTTTTGGTAACCTTGGCTTATAGTTCTTTCTCACCTTCTAGAATGTAAGCTCCATATGAGCAAGTGAGACACACAATAAACATGACAAAGAAACAAGATAATTTCAAAGAGTAAAGACTGCAATGAAGAATAGCAAAAACCATGTGAGAGAAAGCATGGGAGGAAGGGCAACTATACATTTGATGGTCTGAAGCCTTCCATACCTTTTGTTTATAATACAGGGACCCAAATCATTATTGCAGACAGAACCGGTCAACAGCAATTTACAGGTAGGAGTCAGGGACCTAGGTTTGCAGCCTTGATCTCCAAAAAAAAGTAACTGACTAGATTTAGAAATGGACGTGTAGGGGCTGGCCCCATGGCCGAGTGGTTAAGTTCGCGCACTCCGCTGCAGGCGGCCCAGTGTTTCGTTGGTTCGAATCCTGGGTGCGGACATGGCACTGCTCATCAAACCACGCTGAGGCAGCGTCCCACATGCCACAACTAGAAGGACCCACAACGAAGAATATACAACTATGTACCGGGGGGCTTTGGGGAGAAAAAGGAAAAAAATTAAATCTAAAAAAAAAAAAGAAATGGACATGTAAAGTGGGGGTTAAGGAAGACGACACACCTTACTAAATATACCTGAGCAGAAATTAAGAAGCATTTTCACGAATGAAATTGGTTTAGAATTGGGATTTACAATTGTGGAAAGGTGAATTTTAAAAGGGAACTGTGGTCAGTCAGAAGACCAAAGATGGGACTACAAGGAATATTCTCTCAAGATAGAGAATGAGTCTATGACAAGAGCTGGCTATGTATACTCCAAACCTTATTTCCTTTTCCTCTTGGGCATACTGCAACTAGACTCCCAGTCTCCTTGCATCTAGGTAGAACTGTGTGACTAGTACTCCTGAATAGAATGTGAGTGGCCACTGCCCCTAGACAGTTAAGAAGGAGTGTATCCTTGAATTCCAGCTTTCTTTCATCATCTGCTCGCTGGATGCTGGGATGACGGTAAGGCCATAGGCTGAAGACAGAATGAGACTGGGTTCCAGAATAACTGTATGAAGCAGAGGCCCCCTGGTCATTCTGCTTGTTCATTCATTGTTTTTAAACTTTTTATTACAGGAAATTTCAAACATACACAAAAGGAAAGAGAGGATACTAGAGGGTAAGAGAATATGCCACCCCAAAATATGCCACTTTGGCATAAGGATTATTTTGAGCCTGAAGGTAATTAAGAAGTAGATACAAGAAAAGTTCCCGGGGCTGGCCAAGTGGCGCAGCAGTTAAGTTCACATGTTCTGCTTCTCGGTGGCCCAGGGTTCGCCAGTTCGGATCCCAGGTGTGGACATGGCACTGCTTGGCAAAAGCCATGCTGAGGTAGGCATCCCACATATAAAGTAGAGGAAGATTGGCAGTAGTTAGCTCAGGGCTAATCTTCCTCAAAAAAAAAAGTTCCCTGTTCTCCCTCTGTTAGTCTAAAAGCAGGATATAAATTTTCAAAGGTATCCCTCCAACTCTCTCTACCAGGAAAGACAAAAGTTAATCAAGGGAGATAACTTTAGACCCTATCAGCCTGGAGACTGCCCCAGAAGAATCTACCTAGCAAACTAGGCTTTACCTAGCATTAGTTTCCCCCAGTTTGTTGCCCTTGGAAGCCTAAAACTGCTTTCCTTTGTCCAGTTGTTTCTCCACAAATTTATCATACTTTGCTGAAGATGCTGCATAAGTAGAGTTCTAAGCCACCCCTTAGAGTTATTCATGTTTCCTGGGGCATCTCCTGTGTATGCATGAGGTATACATGTTAATAAACTTCTATTTGTCTTTTAATTGTCTAGTCTGTCTTTTATTACAGGCGTTTCAGCCAAGAAACTCAGAAGAGTAGAAGGAAAATTATTTTTCCTCCTCATAACACTTTAATGAACCCCTTTTACTCAGCTTCATGGCAACATTTTGCCAGAATGGTTCTATTTCATCTATGCTACTCACTTTTTTTGCTGGGGAAACTTAAAGCAAATTCCAGTTATATCATTTCACTATAAATACTTCAGTGTGTATCTCTTACAGATATGGAGATAATTAATTAACTTATTTATTTATTTTGAGGAAGATTAACCCTGAGCTAACATCTGCCACCAATCCTCCTCTTTTTGCTGAGGAAGACTGGCCCTGAGCTAACCTCAGTGCCCATCTTCCTCTACTTTATATGTGGGATGCTTGCCACAGCATGGTTGACAAGTGGTGCATAAGTCCGCACCCAGGATCCGAACTGGTGAACCCTGGCTGCTGAAGAGGAACATGCAAACTTGACCACTGTGCCACCAGGCTGGCCTGATAAGGACTTTTTTTTAACAAACCCAAATCCCATTATCATATGTAACAGAATCAACAATAATTCCCACTGTCATCTAATATTTGGTCCTTATTCAAATCATCCCAGTTATCTCAAGTTGTCTTTCTATAGTTGTTTGTTCAAATCAGGAACAAGCAAGCAAAATCCACACACTGCATTTGGCTGGTGTGTTTCTTTGGTCTTCCTTTAAACTCTGAAGGATACCTGCCCTTCATTTTTACCCCCCAGCTATTTGTCTGGTGAAGGCATTGAGTCACTTGTACTGTCAACTTTCTTGCTTTTAAGATTTGGCTGCCTTCATACTCATGGTATGTTTTCTTCGAATGATAATCCTCCATCTCCCATATTTCTTGTAAAATGGTAATGAAATTTAGAGGTTTGAATACAATAAAAATCCAAATTTTTTGCCAAAATTGTATCACAGGTGGTGCTAGGTACTCCCCACTGCATCCTTCAGAGGACACATCAACTTTTAATCTGATGGTTTTAGCATCCACAGATGATCACTGCCTAGATTTATTATTTCATTAGGTGCTGCTAAATGATTTTTAAATTCTATCATTCCTTCTGTATTAATTCAAATTCTTCTATTAAGAAATCAACATTCCCTTATCAATTATTTGATTACTCTGAAAAACTGTATATATAGGAAAAGCAAAACGCTTCTTTCCTTTTATTTAATAAAATTGAAATAAACTTTTATTCTGTTAAGCCACTAAAATTTTTAAGTTTACCTGTTATTGCTAATATTATTTACTTTAATATACTAACTTCCCAATCACCAAGGTAAATCTGTAAAACAGGGATTTTCCAGAAAAACAAACACCGGCCATAAACCCTAAGTAGTTAAAAAAAAAAAAAGTCTAGGGGCCAGCGCGATGCTGTAGTGGTTAAGTGTGCGCATTCTGCTTTAGGGCCTGGGTTTGTGGGTTCAGATCCACGGCGCAGACCTACACACTGGTCATCAAGCAACACTGTAGCAGCATCCCACATACAAAATAGAGGAAGATAGGCACAGATGTTAGCTCAGGGACAATCCTCCTCAAGCAAAAAGAGGAAGGTTGGCAACAGATGTTAGCTCAGTGCCAACCTTCCTCACCAAAAAAAAAATTCTATCAGAGTAATAATAAACTATAAAACTTCCAATATCTTGCATATTATTAGATGAGTATATAGAGAAATTAATTATATAAAAGGTCCCTACATTTATTAAAATCTTTGGGGCTGGCCCCGTGGCTGAGTGGTTAAGTTCGCGCACTCTGGTGCAGGAGGCCCTGTGTTTTGTTGGTTCGAATCCTGGGCGCGGACATGGCACTGCTCATCAAACCACACTGAGGCAGCGTCCCACATGCCAAAACTAGAAGGACCCACAACGAAGAATATACAACTATGTACTGGGGGGCTTTGGGGAGAAAAAGGAAAAAATAAAATCTTTAAAAAAAAATCTTTATTACTATCCACTTATATTTTTGAGTTCCATATTGCTTAAAGTGGTATAGAATATCAGATAAAAATAGGATCTTTTGAAAATAGCAGGGCAACATTTGAGCTAATTAATAATACTGTCTGGAAAGGACAGACAAAGCACTAAGGAGTAAACGAGATGGAGGATAAAAGTAAACGAGTAGCTTCTAGTAAAGGTCAAGACTCATTTGAGAGGGCTGGAAAAAAAGATAAAAACTCAGGATGACCCTCCTTCCTCAGAATACAGATGCTTCCATACAGCAGAGGGCACAGAGCTTCAATTCATTTTTCTGAGTGGTCCCTCCACTCCTACCCAGGAAATACAGCAAGAGGCTTGAGATAGATTTCTCTACAATGTATTTTTTACAATTCCTTTTCAATAGGCTTAACAATTTTATTCACTTTTGCATTCTCAGGATGCAGCACAGTGCCTAGCATAAAGCTCGCACTCCGGAAATGTGAACTGAATTAAGAAATGGCTGACAGAGGGTGCAGGTACTATGGCCAGAAGAGTGGTTTCAAATCCCAGTCACTCACTAGTTGTGTGACCTTGGGCAAGTCGTGTAACCACGCTGAGATCAATTTCTTCATCAATAAAACAGGAACACCATTTGCCTTGTTCACCTCGCTGGCTTCTCAACGGGCTTTACATATGAGCAGCACTGTAAAACACTGCACATGTGTTGAGTTGGGGAGGGCTATTGACAACTATGAATGGTAAGATGGAAAGATGACTCCAGAGTCAGAAAGAGCCAGGCTATCGTCCAGGCTAACCCGCTGTTTTCCTATCTTAATTGAACATGCAGAGGTTTAGACTCGAAGAGGGTCCAGGCCCTACACTCTAATGGTCTGTTAAGTCCGCTACAGGCTCAGAACCTCAGGTGTTCTCACAAAGCTGAACCTCGGGGCCCCCGGATGCACCCGCGGGGGCAGGGACAGTCAAGGTCGCGGGGTCCTCAGCGGGGGTCGCTCACCCAGTCAAAGTCACACGGGTTGCCGTCTTCGCGTTGCGTGGGGAGACTGTGGCAGAGCGGGGGCAGCTTCCTCACGAGTAGGAAGGCAGCCGAGAGCAGGGCTGACAAAAGGTAGTAAGGTCGTGCCAGCCATCGTGAAAGTCGCGGCACCGAATACACCAGAGCAATTAAAGGCGCCAGGACCGCCATCTTTTCAGCCGGAGCCGGGCCCGCAGCTCCCCGGCGTCGGTTGGTCAGGTAACCGCCTCTCCCTCCATTGGGCCTGGTCTCGGATGCACCGCCTCTGGACCCGGAATTAGATCTCTGACTGGACTTTACGATAGGTCAGCAGTGAAAATGGGATTTGACATTTTATTGGCCAATGTGGCTGTCGCTTTTCCCGCCTAAGTCATTTTATTGGATATATGACCCCGGCTGGCAGAGAGAGAATTTAATAAGGTTAAATAGCGCTTCCTGAACGTTCTCATAAAGCGACGGAAGTCCTTGCCGGAAGAAGGTAGGCGGGGCCCGAGGCACTCCAATGATAAGCGGCTCCTGGAGGAAGAGGGCGGTACCCCGTGAAAGGATTGTCCAATGAGAATCACCAATACTAAACAACCAGACAGCGCCGGGGCGGAGGGGAAGATGGAGAATTTCACGGCGCTGTTTGGGGCTCAGGCTGACCCACCACCGCCCCCAACCGCACTCGGCTTCGGACCTGGAAAGCCTCCACCACCGCCTCCCCCTCCTCCGGGCGGGGGACCCGGCACAGCTCCGCCCCCCACCGCGGCCACGGCCCCTCCTGGCGCCGACAAGTCAGCGGCTGGCTGTGGTCCCTTCTACTTAATGCGGGAACTGCCAGGTGAGTACAAGGCCTAGCCGAAGCCAGCCAATCAGATCATAGCGAGGAGATGATGGGCGTGGCTCTCAGCCGGCTGGTGGAGGTGAGAGGTAACCTAGGCAACGCGTGCCGGGACTTCGGGGCTCTAAGTTCGAAGGGCTCTGAGGATTCACCACCAAAGGGATGACATGAGTTCTTGTGATGGCTTGCGAACGGGAAGAGAATGCATCCCCATGACCATCTTTCACGCCTTATCAGGCCCCTGTCCCTCACACTGGCTTATGCCTCCCTAAAAACTATCCAGGGTTCGAGTTTGGAACGAGAGAGTCCGGATTTAACATCCCCGCGGATCTAAGGTTTTAGTTTCAAATCTGCGAAAAACTTGCTGTTGGTTTTGGGCATGTTGCCCTCCTCAGGGCCTCAGCTTTCCTCATCTGTTTGAAGAAGTGATTCGAATTGAACTAGATTCTTTCATTTCAAAAAATTATTTTGTTGAGCACCTACTGTGTACTGAGCTCTGTTCTAAATGCTGAAGACACAGCTGTGAACAAGACTGACAAGATCTTTGCGTTTTTCGGAGTTTGTCAGTGAAGGAGGCAAAGAGTACACAAGGTAATATCAGATAATGGAGAAAACGTGATAAAGAATTGAGGGGGAGGCCGGCCGGTGGCGCAGCGGTTAACTCCGCATGTTCTGCTTCTCCGCAGCCTCGGGTTCGCTGGTTCGGATCCCGGGTGCGGACATGGCACCACTTGGCAAAAGCCATGCTGTGGTAGGCGTCCCACGTATAAAGTGGAGGAAGATGGCCGTGGGTGTTAGCTCAGGGCCAGTCTTCCTCAGCAGAAAGAGGGGGGTTGGCAGTAGTTAGCTCAGGGCTAATCTTCCTCAAAAAAAAAAAAAATTGAGGAGGGAGAAATCCTTTAGCTGAAGCCATCAGAGAAGCCCTCTCTGAGTAGATTATGTTTGAGCTAAAACATAAGCGCAGCGGAAGCGCCATTTATGAATAGGAGAGACGGATAATTCTAGATACAGGAAATGAGATTAGAAGCCCTGATGTGAGAAAAAGCTTGGGATATCTGAGGGACAGAAGACCTGCTGGACTCCAGTGACATGAACAAAAGAAAGAGTGATAGGAGGTGAAGGTGGGAGGAATAGGCAGAGGCCTTTTTAAGGCATTTAGATTTTAAGTTCAGGGGGAAGCCATTTTAACATAGGAGAGTGACATGGTCTGTTATTTATTTTTAATCCTTCAAGCAGCTACATTAAGAAAGGAAAGTGGGAAAATCAGTCAAGAGTTACTGTTTAGGAGTCCAAGAAAGAGATGGTTTCGACTAGGTGATAGCAGTGGAGGAGAGAAGTAAATGGATGCAGGATAAATGTTTGAGGTAGAGCTGATAGGAATGAAGGACTGAATATAGAAGTGAAGGAGAGAGGAATTAAGGATGATTTGGAAATTTTTAGCTTGAATAATTGGGTGGATGGTAGTGCTGAGACCAGGAACGAGCAAGTTTGAGGAGGTGGAAATCAAGAGTCGTTTTGGACATGTTAAGTCTTCAAGATGCCTTTCAGTTCATCCCATCCTACTGCTACATCAAGAGTGGAGGGAAGGGGCCGGCCCGGTGGCCAAGTGGTTTAGTTTGTGAGCTCCAACTTCAGTGGCCTGGGGTTTGCCAGTTTGGGTCCTGGGCACAGACCTACACACTACTGAGCAAGCCATCATCAACTCATCAAGCTGTGGCAGCATCCCACATAGAACTAGAATGACTTACAACTAGGATACACAACTATGTACTGGACCTTTGGGGAGGAAAAAGAAGAGGAAGATTGGCAATAGATGTTAGCTCAGGGCCAGTCTTCCTCACCAAAAAAAGCGTACCTTAAAAAAAAAAAAGTTGAGGGAAATAATATCAGTACAGTACTTTGTAGTTCACAGTGCAGTTATATATGTAATAGTATTGAATAGAGAGGCTGCCTTTCCTTTGCTTAGTTAGTGGTTCACATCTACCAGCAGTTTCTTTAACCTTACCTGTTCTGATTGTACCTATTTATATCAATCAGTTGATAGATATTGAATATCTGTTTTGAGCAAATGCTGGATGTGTAGGAAAGGGGACATGGGGTGAGAAAGGGAGAGAGATTAATAAGCCTGTTCCTTACTTTTTTTTTTTTAAAGATTTTATTTTTCCTTTTTCTCCCAAAGTCCCCCAGTACATAATTGTGTATTTTTAGTTGTGGATCCTTCTAGTTGTGGCATGTGGGACGCCACCTCAGCATGACTTGGTGCGTGGTGCCATGTCCGTGCCCAGGATTCGAACTGGCAAAACCCTGGGCCACCGAAGCAGAGCGCGTGAACTGAAGCACTTGGCCACAGGGCCGGCCCCATGGTCCTTACTTTTAAGTGTATTTTACTTAGGGATACAAACTATGTTGTTTAAGGATAAAGTAGTGACTCTGTTTCTTGTCAAGGCCAAGCTCATTACTTTGTGGTCATGACTCACGACTATTAAGAACTACATGATGGTTTTCAAAATATGTCCCTTTTTATCCAAAATGACAGCAGGAATAAGTTGTCACTTGAGCTGGACCTTGAAGAATTCACATGAGTGAAGAAAATTAGGAAGAATTTTCCAATAATTAGGTCAATTTTCCTAAAAGGAATTTCCTAAAAAGAAACAATATGAGGGGTGTTTTTCTGAGGAGATGATGGCGACCCATTTGGATGGATCAGCAGCTTTGCAGAGGGGATTAGTGGTTGATCAGGCCCCGAAGCTAAGTCACAGTAAGATGTGTTTGACGGCAAATGCCAAAGGAATTTGAGCTTTTTCCTGAGGGCAATAGGAAGCCACTGAGATTTCTGAACTGAGGAGTACTGCTCCTAAAAACATCTGGAGAATGTGGGTGCCATGTATTGAAACAGAGAAACCATGAGTAAGGTGAGGAAGATTTGGAGTTCAAAAAAACAAATTGAAGCTGCATGGAATTAAGTCAGAGGAAGTTGGAAAGGCAAGATTAGTTTTCAGGAGGGCTGGGGACAGAGATTTATAAGTCATCCTCATAGAACTGATTGTTCTATGAAGCTGGATGGACTCTTAGGTTAAAGAGTTGAGAAAAAGCACAGAGTGCCATCTCACCTGAGCCTTGAGCATAACCACCTGGCAGGAGGAGAGCTGAGAGAGGGGAAAAAATCAGGATACTGTTATGGCAGGAGGCACTGCCTAGGAGTTATGAGGAGAGGTACTGTGGCATTGGGTCTCCAGCCATTACGGTAGACATTCTTCTGAGATATTTGGCTTGAAAAAACAAGGCAAAGAATAGGGTAAGGCCTAGAGGTCTGAGGGAAAGATTCCTTCTTCATTTAATAGTTATTGAGCACCCACTGTGTCTACTGTGTTGGGCACGAGGGATATATGAATGAACAAGACATTGTCGCTGCCCTCAAGGGGCTCACAGTTCAGAACCTGAGTTTTCCCAAGTGAATGATTATAAACAAGCCACTTTTGTCATTTGTACCCTTTGTGTTCATCATAACTCTAGATGAAGTTGTAGGCTAGATATGTCCACCCTTGCCACTGGATCCTTATTATATTACTAATAAGTTTATATTCTTTGAAAAAAGTCAGCTATGCAATATTTGTACTGATAATGCCTTGCATTTGTATAATACTTTATCCTTTTGAATATGTTCTCATTTGAACCTTGAAAAAAAATTTAGTGTACTTAAGATAGTTATAACCCCATTCCATAGATAAGAGGAAACCGAGGCATAGAGGACAGCCAGAATTAGAATTCTAGTTGCCCAACTTCTGAGCAAACGTTTCTTTCTTCTAGGCAAAGTATTACAGTCGGTATGATGTGGAAGAATAAAAATGGTGATAAAAGTTAGGCAGCAGTAGCTAGAAAAATCTCCTGGCTGTTTTTCTATGTAAAGGTGATTAATGTTTCTTCCTAGTTAAAAAAAAAAGGTGGGGGAAGGGCTGGCCCAGTGGCACAGCAGTTAAGTTCGCACGTTCTACTTCAGCAGCCCAGGGTTCACTGGTTCGGATCCCAAGTGCCGACCTACACACCGTGTATCAAGCCCATATATAAAGTAGAGGAAGATGGGCACAAATGTTAGCTCAGGACCAGTCTTCCTCAGCAGAAGGAGGAGGATTGGTGGCAGATGTTAGCTCAGGGCTAATCTTCCTAAAAAAAAAAAAGATCCTTGACAAGATACTCAAGCCATTGGGTCATACTTGGCCCTTAGCTTGGTTGTAGCTGAGCTGTGAGGTAGTAGTATCCTGGTCATGTCCGAGAGTATAATTTCTCACTAGTACATTTTATCAAAAGCACTCAGAACAGTGTTTAGCAGGGAGTAAGCATCATATTATTCTGGTTAGTCCAAGAAGGGAAGAGTGTCTCCTTCATGGGGTTAGAGCAGTTTCCATCTCTGCCCTGTTTGGACTTTTCCCTATTTTTTTCTCGTT